ATGAATATTTATACACTTTTTAACTGCATTGTAAAAAAATATGAGTATGGTTTATTTTACAAGGGTATTTSAGTGTATTTGCTAAATACACATTTTTCTTGATGTAAAAGACAATGATTGTATGACTTTTTAAAAACTTTGTCCATTAGTTAACATGGTTTAAATCATTAAAACATCCCAAATATTTCTGCAACTTCCTCACTCCATCATCACTGACATCTAGACTCCAAGTAGTCCACTTCCTGTTTCATTATTTTGCATGTGACTATTTATTTTCATGTTTCAAATCTCATCAGAATGTATTAAATGAGTATACAAATATTAATACACGTCACACTAAGGAGGACGTGTTTACCTCAGAGTCAGTTAGGCTGTGTGGTTGATATAATTTACGACAGATACAACTTGTTCTGAATCAGGGKTATGTGCTGGATGTTTATCTGATCTTTATCCTAATGAGGTTTAATGAGGCTTTAGGAGATAAGCTCCCCGCCCCCAATTAGTTCTCCCTTAACATGTCAGACTTTAAATGTAACTGGTGATCAATGGAGTGAAGATGAACGTTTTAATTTTCCTCAAGGCTAAAAGTATCGGAAACCATTCTGACAGAACTCCAGTCCCAAAAGGTTGCAAAATCAACAGCTCTACATGTAGGTAAAACCACAATGCCTGCAACTATTGACTTCCACCGTTAGCGTAATGGTTTTAAATTTATAGCAATACACAGAAGCGTTTTGGACAAAAATGCAAGGAGGAAATCTAGTAGCAACAGAAAAAATACCACCTGTACTTAGGTAAACTATTGCAGTAGATATGGGATATTGTATAATTTAAATATTTATTTTAGTTATTTAAAAATCAAACTGATTACCGGTAAATGTGTTTTGGTGTGACTGATAATGTAAGCATCTATTCTAGCTTATTCAAGAGGCCTTGTTTGACTATTGATGATAAAGGGAGAGCATTGTGCATTTTCAAGGCACATAGYTCARTTCTACACCACAATCAATTAACTGTTACCTTCWGTTGTTATGMAAATGMTGWATATATCAAAAATAAWTTTGAYTTCACATCATAGCGTTCGCATCTAAAWGCCTTGAAAGTGGCCTCTGTCTCTTTAAGAACCTCCTAYCGTTKCTGACACTCCCACTTCAGCATGTCTTCAAAACAGYGCTTTAGGGGGAAAGGTGCTCTGTGGAGCTGGATCTCGGCTGGGGACTGAGCTCCAGGGAGRTGCTTTGTACCAGCAAGCAGCTCCACATGACTACCTCTAGGGATTCAAAGATTTGTCAAACATGCACAAATGAGTCAAAACAACACTCTGGGTATGTTGTTGATGGGGAAATGACATTATAGCATGATATAAAGCACAAAAAAGTTGATTTTGCATAATACCCCCCCCAAAAAATAGAAAAACGAAACAAAAAGGAGAAGTAGATTACTGGACACACCAAAAGCATATATATTTGGTATATAACAATAAACATAAAGGACCTAGTAATTTTTATGTTTTTTTTTTGTTTTGTTTTGTTTTGTTTTGTTTTTCTACCTGGATTACCAAGATGTATAGCTACGAACAAACACACAGAAACATATGACATCCTGGATATACAGCGGGTAAAATAAGTATTGAACACGTCACCATTTTTCTCAGTAAATATATTACTAGAGGTGYTAATGACATGAAATTTTCACCAGTTGTCGATAACAACCCAAGTGATCCATACATACAAAGAAATCAAACCATAAATGTCCAGAAATGAAGTTATTTGTAATAATGTGGAATGGCACAGGGGAAAAGTATTGAACACACTTACTGAAATTTATCTAATACTTTGTACAAAAGCCTTTGTTGTCAACGACAGCTTCAAGACGCCTCCTGTATGGAGAAACTAGTGGCATGCATTGCTCAGGTGTGATTTTGGCCCATTCTTCCACACAAACAGTCTTCAAATCTTGAAGGTTTCATGGACCTCTTCTATGAACTCTGATTTTTAGTTCTTTCCATAGATTTTCTGTTGGATTCAGGTCAGGTGATTGGCTGGGCCATTCCAGCAGCTTTAGTTTCTTTCTCTGAAACCAACTGAGAGTTTCCTTGGCTTTGTGTTTGGGCTCATTGTCTTGCTGAAATGTCCAGCCACGTTTCATCTTCATCATCCTGGTAGATGGAAGCAGATTTTTATCAAGAATGTCTCTGTACATTTTTCCACTCATCCTTCCTTCAATTATTTGAAGTTTGCCAGTACCATATGCTGAAAAACAGCCCCACACCATGATGTTCCCACCTCCAAACTTCACTGTTGGTATGGTGTTTTTGGGATGATGTGCAGAACCATTTGACCTCCAAACATGATGTGTATTCTGGCATCCAAACAGTTAAATTTTGGTCTCATCTGACCCGACTATATTCTCCCAGTATTACACAGGCTTGTTGAGCCTAAACGAGCTTCAACATGCTGTTTCTTCAGCAGTGGAGTCTTGCGTGGTGAGCGTGCATACAGGCCATGGTGGTTCAGTGCATTACTTATTGTTTTCTTTGAAACAATCGTACCTGCTAATTCCAGGTCTTTCTGAAGCTCTCCACAAGTGGTCCTTGGCTCTTGGACAACTCTTCTGATAATTCTTTTCACTCCTCTGTCAGAAATCTTGCGAGGAGCACCTGGTCGTGGTCGGTTTATGGTGAAATGATATTCTTTCCACTTCTGAATTATGGCCCCAACAGTGCTCACTGGAACCTTCAGAAGTTTAGACATTCTTCTGTAACCGATGCCATCATTATGCTTTGCAACAATAAGGTTGTGAAGGTCKTGAGAGAGCTCTTTACTTTTACCCATCATCAGATGGTTCTTGTGTGATACCTGGCCATCATTTGGGACTGAACCAGCTGATATTAATTTACACTGACAAGGGGCAGGCTTGCTTTCTAATTACTGAGAGAGTTCAGCTGGTGTCTTGGCTTTCCATGCCTTTTTACACCTCCCTTTCTTCATGTGCTCAATACTTTTTCCCTGTGCCATTCCACATTATTACAAATAACTTAATTTCTGGACATTCATGGTTTGATTTCTTTGTATGTATGGATCACTTGTGTTGTTACCGACATCTGGTGAAAATTTCATGTCATTAGCACCTCTAGTAATATATTTACTGAGAAAAATGTTGACGTGTTTAATACTTATTTTACCCACTGTAATTGCTAGCTGTAAAGATGATGGTTCCTGAATTTGGACTGCTGAAAAGTGCTGTATGTCAGTAATGACATTCATGGAACCTCTGTGCTTTTACCATAGCCAGAGGGCTTAGCCTGGCTCATCTGCAAGCTGTTTAMCAAAGAGGGGTAGAGAAAAGAGGAAAGAAGAAGGCATATTCTGGTACGGGTATGCATTTTACAGTAGACATGTATAACACAGACTGCATGCTACTGCCAGTTTTAGAACACTGATCACATTTTTAGGTTGAGTCTCAAAAATTTTTCAGGCCTACTGTTCCATCTGCCAGGAGTAAAACATAATGCATATATATTCAAAAATGTTTTTATATTGTTTGGATGAAAAAAAAAAACAATGTTCTTAAATGACCACATACCAGTTGGAAAAAATACAGTAGCCGAGTGACTTTGCCCYAAGCATTTTAACATTTACCTCATTGCTTTGCTGACAAGGTGTTGATGATAAGTTACCTTTCCGTGACAATATCAGGGTCACCATCGCCTGAAAATAGGACCAATATACAGCTTAATTTGTATTCTGTCCACATGCCCTTTTTTATACCCAACAAAGAGGTTAAAATGTTTATTTTTGTCATTGCAAACAAAMTGAACATGTCAGAGGTTACATATTACACATCACAGAAAGCAAACAGTATCGTGATCTCAGTGAACGTCAATATAAAGCCGCTAAGAGGAACAGAATACCAGGAGGCAGATAATAACGATAAGTGAAAGTTTATTTACAATATTCACAGTATAGGGATCCAGATCTGCAAGACGAAGGTTTTGGGATGAGTAATGGTACCRAATGGTATGAGATGCTCCAGCATTGACCAGATCGTCCGAAGAACATTTTAAAGTTTGAGAGCTCATCACCCGAATCTGCAGCGGCTGGATCCCGACTCCACCCACAGATCATTTAAGGGCTGCAGGACCTGCAAAAAACGTTGGAACACCTACAGACATTTACAGTGAATACAAGTTTAGCAGAATATTTGCTGTTTTAGATTTATTAACACAAATGTTATTTGCAGCAGGTGTGAAGTTAAAGTGTTTTAGTGTTATAGTTTGGGATGAATTGTGAATGCCAGTAATGCATTTGCAGTAAATGTGTGTAGGATGCTGAGATTCAGATTTAGTGGGAGGACTATATAGATGTGCTTTTTATTCGAAATTTTAATTTGCGTTTGTCGTTTAGACTATTTGCCATTATGCGGTTCAACTTGTCTAATAAAGACTGCTTATGAAAATTAAACGAGAACATAATTTATGGCTTTTTTGGAGTAGCTAATTATGTAATTTTGCACCTGCTACTGCACATGCATTGTCCTTGTTACTATGCAGTGTGTTGCTCTTTGCTATTTTCGTCTTCCTCTTCAGTCATTCTTGACAGTTGGCCAGCATCAACTAGCTACTGAACTGACTCCACTAAACAGAAAAGTTATGAAAAAGAGGAGATGCAAAACAGATTTCGCCCTGAAGATATTTAGTAATCATGTTATCAGGTTAAAGGAGATTAGATTGCCTCTCTGCTCCATGCACCTTACCATGCTGTTGCTCCTTCTCTTCATATCTTCTTAATTTTACATATTTATCAGGCATTATTTGTTTCTCCCAGGAGTATGGGCGGTGAACCTTCCTGTCTGACAYGGCTGGAAATGGCACAGCAGTAATTGTGAAAAAGCCAGAGCGAGAGAAGTGCATATCTCAGTGTGTGTATAAAGGCAAGGAGAGAAGGAGAGAGGAAAGGGAAAGGGTGGGGAGGTGCAGTGTGAAGGCAGGGAGGGTAAAGGCAAAGGAGAGGAAGAGAGAAAGAGACACACAGCAGGAGAACAAGCAGCTCGCCTCATTCCGCTGCTTTCTCAGCATCCATTCTGTGAGATCCTATTCCGGAGAGGAGCGCGCTACACAACACGCAAATTGGAAAGGAAGAGAGGATAAAATCCATTGATGAGGGTGGATATGGTGGGAAATACTGCATAATCAGGGCTCAGCGGCAGCCACTGTCACCTCTTACAGTTTGGTGGCGGTGTATGAAAGTTTCCATCTTCTGGGGGGACACCCTCCCCTTGATGTGGGGATGAACAGCAGAGGCTGAATTTTACTCTGAAGGCAGGTGAAGAGCTGTGAGGACCAGCTGGATTCACTTGCAATGGAGCTGGTAGTGCGCACTTGAAGAGATCATACAATTTTTTTCTCTCTTTTTTTTTCTCTCTTCTCCTCTTACTCAGTCTCTCATGCACATTTTCCAGTAGACTACATGAAATTATTTCACTGAACCGAGGAGGAATATCTGGGGAGATCAACCCAAAAAGACATCATCTTTTACCAGGAAAGTAAAAGGGAATGGATTATGTACAAAATCACTGAAGGACACCTTGTTCAAAGTAAGTAAGTTTTAATCAGGAGCGGCTCTGAATTGGGTTGTGTTTCTGAGAGACTTGGAGGATTTTTGGCTTTTTTTCATTAGTGTGAAGCAGCATAGAGCTTTGTTCGTGACAGCATTTCTTGTGGACTATACGGATTTGGAAGGCATTTCAAGGTAAGCAATCGTAACTGTTTTTTTCCCTTTTGTAGTTGATTTTTCAAGTCAGATTAGTGAGCTACAAATCCCAGAACAAACAGAGGTACAAAAAAAAAACATATATTCCATTCAGTTAGTTTTACAGAAGGTGCAAAGTTGGAAATATGTCTTTTTAAAAACGCCAACGTTTCATGGCTTACAGAGAACATGATTGGTTTTTTGATTGCYACTGGCAGGCTACTCCCCTCTGCAGGGAAAAATGTATCTATGTGTATCTGCATACTTGTGCTTGTGTTTGCTGAGAAAGGAGATGCCTGTCTGCAAAGTAATTCATCTCTTTCCTCTCGTGGTACATGGTTATCACCAGGGGAGGTTACTAGTGGAAGAGGCAAAATTGCAGTCGTTGTTTGTCCTGTTTTTTTTTTTTTTTTTTTTTTTA